TGAAGGTTACCTGGTGGCAGTTAGGCTCCGTAAGCAGAGTTGGGCCTTCTCTTTTGTTTTCCCCCCTCAGCTTTCTACTGAGAGAAAACATGAGCTACAGAAGAAGGGTGTGACCAAAACTTGTTTGCTTTGTCTGTTTTCCCGTCTGATCTGGGTTCGCTTGTCAGCTACTGAATGAGGGCGTGCCGTGGGGATGACCTTCTGATACAGAGCACCTGTCCCCTTCACACCCCCTCGGCCCTGCTGGTTCTGCGTCAGCTGCGCTATTTGCAGGACCACCTGCCCAAACCCCGTGCTACTCACTGTTCTTTGATCTGTAAACCGGAGTCTGAGCCAGCTGGGTTGAGACAGAGGAGGCTGGGCCAGTGATCTCAGTGCGGCTGTTTTGTTGCCTTGCGGTGGCTTCCTCTGTCCAGGTCTCACCTAAGAAAAAGTTGAGCCCCTGGGCAAGACAGGTGAGGGATGTGAACAGGTAATTCACAACATGAGAAGAGCTAATATTAAATCATGAGAATTGACTGCCCTCACTAGAATATAAAGGAACAGAAATAACGGCAACCTTTAATATCCTTTTTTCCTATCAATCAATTTGGCAAAGATTTTTGTGGAAAATAATTCCCAGGGTTTGCAAACAATTACCGATAGGAAGGTTATTGGCCATTCGGAAAGGAAGCTGCCAATGCATATCAAGAACTGTAAAATTTTTCATTCTAGAATATAGTATTCCATAAAGGGTTAGGAAGATAGAAGAATTTAGTACAGGATAAAGGTGACATTTCAAATTAACGAGGAGAGACTTTCATTTTTGGTGGTATTGAGGTCAGGAGGACCTGGAAGATCTCCAGTTATAAAAATATCTAAAAATGTTGGGTTAAATATAACAAAATACGTAACTGAGCTCCAAAGATAAAAATGGAATGCCCCAGGGGCCAAGCAATGAGAAGGACTGAAAACCAGAGATATAGATGAGCTGACACTGCTGCCGCCCCAGGAGGGATTATCAATCTGAATAATCTAAGGCTCCCGGTTTATAATGTCGAGGTGGGAACAGGACATCAAGCCTATTGTCTGTGTGTGTGGGAGGGCAAGTTGAACCTGAGTCTCCAGTGTAGCTGGGATCTTTGAAAGTCTAAACCTTGAGTGGCAATAGCTTCTAACATTGAGACAATCGCATCCTTGCCTGACTTAACTCTTGCAAAGGCCAATATCAAGAGGAGGTCTTAATCTCTGAGATTCTTTCCATCTGGAGAACCACTGCTATAACATTCAGTTGATTCCCTGTGTCACCTCTCAAGCAGGATATGTTGTTCTGACAGCTGGTCTGAACTCCAAGAGGTTGTCAAAATAAGACATATTTGTGTTGTCTCTTCTCCCTATAGTCTATTATTTGATCAATTGGCAGGTCTATCAGTGTTTGAAATGTGATTCTTCCTCTAGGAAATTATCCCACAAATTACAGGATATTCATAAAAATTCCCAGTCATAAATAATGTGTGTTCAATATGATTTATTTGTAATAGAAAGAAAAATTGGAAGCTGCCGCATAGCCAACAAAAGTGGAATGGTTAACTGAACACTATGTAGCCATTAAAAGGAATTAAGTTGATCTCTATGTACGAAAATGGAAAGAATGGCCACACAACATATAATTAAGACTTTTTTAAAAGCAAGCTATATAATCATTAGAGAAATGCAAATCAAAACTACAATGAGGTATCACCTCACACCAGTCAGAATGGCCATCATTAAAAAATCTACAAACAATAAATGCTGGAGAGGGTGTGGAGAAAAGGGAACCCTCCTACACTGTTGGTGGGAATGTAAATTGATACAGCCACTATGGAGAACAGTATGGAGGTTCCTTAAAAAACTACAAATAGAACTACCATATGACCCAGCAATCCCACTGCTGGGCATATACCCTGAGAAAACCATAATTCAAAAAGAGTCATGCACCACAATGTTCACTGCAGCTCTATTTACAGTAGCCAGGACATGGAAGCAACCAAGCTGTCCATAGACAGATGAACGGATAAAGAAGATGTGGCACATATATACGATGGAATATTATTCAGCCATAAAAAGAAACAAAGTTGAGTTATTTGTAGTGAGGTGGATGGACCTAGAGTCTGTCATACAGAGTGAAGCCAGAAAGAGAAAAACAAATACCGTATGCTAACACATATACATGGAATCTAAAAAAAAAAAAAAAAAAAGGTTCTAATGAACCTAGGGGCAGGACAGGAATAAAGATGCAGACATAGAGAATGGACTTGAGGACACGGGGAGAGGCAAGGGTAAGCTGGGACGAAGTGAGAGAGTAGCATTGACATATATACCCTACCAAATGTAAAATAGCTAGTGGGAAGCAGCCGCATAGCACAGGGAGATCAGCTCAGTGCTTTGTGACCGCCTAGAGGGGTGGGATAGGGAGGGTGGGAGGGAGATGCAAGAGGGAGGGGATATGGGGATATACATATGCATATAGCTGATTCACTTTGTTATACAGCAGAAACTAACACACCATTGTAAAGCAATTATACTCCAATAAAGATGTTAAAAAAAAAAAAGGAAGCTACAGAACATTATTCAATAGAAATGGAATGCAAACCACATAGTAATTTAAAATTTTCTAATAGAAATATTTTTAAATGTCAAAATAAATAGATGAAATTATTATTATTATTAATTTTTTTTTTTGCGGTACGCGGGCTTCTCACTGCTGTGGCCTCTCCCGCAGCAGAGCACAGGCTCCGGACGCGCAGGCCCAGTGGCCATGGCTCACGGGCCCAGCTGCTCCGCGGCACGTGGGATCCTCCCCGACCGGGGCACGAACCCGCATCCCCTGCATTGGCAGGCGGACTCTCAACCACTGCGCCACCAGGGAAGCCCCAATATGTTATCTTTTGTGTCTGACTTCTTTCACTTGGCAAATATTTTTCAAAGTTCATCCATGTGGGATCTTCATGCCCCGGTCTGGGAAGATCCCACATGCCGTGGAGCGGCTGGGCCCGTGAGCCATGGCCGCTGAGTCTGCGCGTCCGGAGCCTGTGCTCTGCAACGGGAGAGGCCACAACAGGGAAAGGCCCGCGTACCGCCAAAAAAAAAAAAAAAAAAAAAGATAACTTATGATTCCATTTGTATGAAACGTCAGGAATAGGCAAATCCATGGAGACAGAAAGTAGTGGTTGTGGGAGACTGGCAGGCGGGACGTGGGGAGGGGCTAGTTCGTGGGTATGGAGTTTCTCTCTGGAGCAACGAAAATGCCTTGGAATTAGATGGTGGTGATGGTTGCACAGTGTTGTGAATGGACTAAAAAAATCACTGAATCCTACACTTTGAAATGGTGAACTTTATGTTATATAAATTTTAAAGCTATGTATATAGAACAAGATCCAAACTTTGTGGGGGAAAAGTAAGACTAATGTATTAAGAGTGGTGGTGGATTATAAATGCTTTTAATTTTTTCTGATTTTCTCCAGCACATACATGTTATATTTTACATGTTATATTTTAAATGGCGGCGGTGGTGGAATAAAAGCATTTAGGAAAGAGTGGTCTTCTCTCTTGACAAAATCTGTGTGCTTTGGAAATAACACCATGTTCTCACTTGGCAACTTAACCAAGGGCAGTCCGTCCAGCCTGTGAAGTATACTTCTTTCTGTATAATGTTTCACTGCATTTAGTAGAACAAGCCATTCACTTTTTGCTATAGGGTGCCGAAGAGCAGAGCTGACTTAAGCCTTTCCTTTTCTGTCTTTTTAGATGTTGTAGACATAGCTTTTTGAAGCAGAGCAGTCTGGATTAGCTAGCTCAGGGCTCAGAGCTTCAGAACCTAAATTCTCTTTGACCTGACTGGCTTCCTGCCCTTACCTGGTGCTTCTGCTTCTCCACTGGTGAGATGAAGTGGTAAATGCTCACTTCACTGGAGTGGGGAAGAGAATGCATTAGGTAAGTCTTTCAAAGCACTAAGAGATAGAAGGACCAGAGAAATAAAAGGTTATTCAACCCCACTGGAGACTCAAATCACTGATAAGCAGCTGGAGAAGATGGAGCTTATGTAACAACTCTTTGTCTCTCAATAAATAAACAGATAGGATCTGAGTCATGGGGTCACTGAGGCTCCTCTTAACCCTTGGGTGGGTGGTACTTTTCATAGGCTCACAGGAATGCTGAGATCTCTGCTGTGCTTGCTTAGCAAAGTTTTTTATTTAGATCTCACCTGACATCTTATTTTTCCAGTAGCTCCACAACAGGAAAATGAAGGAGAATTCACAATTGCACAGGTTTTGGTTGCCTTGGAGACCGTGTACTTTTAAGATATTTATGGAGGAAGCCTTAGTTTACTCTAACTGTGCAGTGTGTTCCAGCTGGAGTAGAACTTTGTGGACTGACAAGGAAAGGAGCCCAAGATGTAGGAAGTAAATAAGCATGCTGCCCGATAAGTTGTAGAGCATGATCTCAGCTGTGTTTTGAAAATACATAAAATTCTGTAACTATGTATCTGTCATCTAGTCTATCATCTGTCTATCTATCTATCTATCATCTGTAGATCAATTGATCTACTATCATCTATCCATCTTGGTGAATGGATAGAAATGGCCAAATCATTACAACCGCCTGGCCCTGGGAGTGAGAATGGAACATACAGATAGCAAGACTCTCACTTTTTACTCTATATGTTTCTGTACTATTGAAATTTTAATAGATTGTTTTGTAACAAAAAAGTTTTAACAAAAGTTACCAGCTGTAATCCTAACTACCTCTCTGACAGTCCTTTCAAACATCTCACAAAGCACGCGGAAAGAGTTAACACAGAGCCAGTTCAAATTCCTGATTTGGTGGTGGAGGTGGAGGCAGGGCTAGAGGTAAAAAGAAGCAAAAAGTGGGGAGGGGAGGGAAGAGGAGGGCTGGCTGCTCAGTTCTCACCTGAACCAATAGCATGAAAGTTTCAGGCCCAACGCCCATTTGGGGGACTATTTCAGGAGTCAGAGGTTGCATCTGAATTCACTGTCACTGTAACTTGCCAAAGAACTAAGACGACTTCCTGGTTTGGCTACTTGGAAGCTGCTTCTCCTTTACCCAGAAGGTAAAATCTCAAGCCTCAGCTAATCTGGTGACGGTGATTTGGAGTGCGCACTTTTTTCTTTGTGGTGTATTGACTTCTTTATCCACAGGACAGTAAGATGCTTATGGAATAGGGCTTTATTTTTACTAATGATGATATTAACACTAAATTTCTAACAATGTTGGAATGGTTCTTCCTGGTTCTTCTTTGCACAGGACAAGACACAGTCTGTTGAAGTGTTAGGGAGGAACACTTGCATGGAAAGGAAGGAACACATATGCTTTCATTGTTTAACAGTTCTCATGTCATTTTTCCTTGGTTTCACTGAGAGCATGGTTAAATTTTCATGGGGATTACAGTTGCACACAGCGAATCTCACAGTAGGTAAGTATTTGATGGAACGCTCTCAGCTAATATTGTAGAATGGGCTCTTGCTTATTTTCCTTCTCAGGGAAAAGTCTTAAAACTTCCCACATTCATAACAAAGCTACTTTACATGAGAAAGGAGTTTGGAAAGAGATGTCTGGTGAAATCACCCCAATGTTTTGGTCCAACTGCAGCCCCCCCAGGATGATGTCTGTTCTTAGTGTCACAGCGACCCCTTTTTTTCCCCATAGTCTTTGTTAGTGATGGACCCATACATGATTCAGTTACACGACCATGGCAACCTCCCCTCAGTGCTGGATGTGCATGTCAACATCCCTGGGAGAAGCTCTGTGCCGGGAAAAATGAAAGGCAGGAAGGCCAGATGGTCCGTGAGGCCCTCGGACATGTCCAACAAAACTTTCAATCCCATCCGGGCCATTGTGGACAGCATGAAGGTGAAGCCAAATCCAAACAAGACCATGATTGCTCTGTCAATTGGTGAGTTGGAGACACTTGACCGAGAGGCAGGCATTGTTCCTCCCACCCCCATCCTCATGGGTTGGTTGGAGAGGATGGAAGTGGAGGGTGGGTCTGAGCACTGGGCATGGAAGAATAACCTCTTGGCGGTTCTTTTTTTTTTTTCCCATGAAAAGGGGACCCTACTGTGTTTGGAAACCTGCCTACAGATCCTGAAGTTACCCAAGCAATAAAAGATGCCCTTGACTCGGGGAAGTATAACGGCTATGCCCCCTCCACTGGTAAATTCCTCCTGAGACTCTAATCTGGTGGCTTCCAAATCTTTAGTGCTCTTCTAATAGGAATACATTTCTAGCATTCTTCTTTGCTTTCCTGATGCATAATTCCTAAGGAGAAGCTAAGATAAAATGGCTGTTGGATTTGGGGAAAGGGGTCTCAGCATGCTTAACCTCAAGCCATCAAGGTCTAACTTCTTTCCTGGCTTCCTCTGGCATTATGGCACCTCCCTGCTCTAGGTTCCCATTACATACTTATTTCTCAAATAACACTCCTATTCTGTCATCGCTAATTCTACACGGAGGCCTTGAGTTTGGCTGCACCTGCTTCTTTACAAAGCCCGCTAGCTCCTAAATTAATTTAATTACTGCCCTGTGTAAATAGCTTCTTGGCCTTATTTCTCCTTCTCTACACATTCAAGGTTTAATTTAATTATGGTCCTAATCACACTCTCAATGTAATTGTGCTTGTTTCAAGGCAAAAACAAAAAACAAAACCCATAAAACCAAGAACAGCAAAGAATGAGCTGACCTACTGGAGGATAGAATGTTTGTTTAGGACAGAAAGAAATTATTCTTAGGTTTAGGTTTAACTCTCTCCATCTATTAAACATTTCTACCCTAAACATTTTGGTAAAATAAATGATTCCTTGACTTTGTTTCAGTGTTGCACATTTCCCCACTGTGTATATGTGCGCATAGAAACATATTCTTTTCTTTCTTTTTTTTTTTTTTTTGCGGTACGCGGGCTTCTCACTGTTGCGGCCTCTCTGTTGCGGAGCACAGGCTCCGGACGCACAGGCTCAGCGGCCATGGCTCACGGGCCCAGCCGCTCCGCGGCATGTGGGATCTCCCCAGACCGGGGCACGAACCCGTGTCCCCTGCATCGGCAGGCGGACTCTCAACCACTGCGCCACCAGGGAAGCCCTAGAAACATATTCTTAATGCAGAATAAAAATCCAGTTTCATGCTAAAATAGAATTGTAATAACACTTAAAAGAGATCTCAGGGATGTGATTTTTAGGTTGATTATTTACATTTTATGAAGTTTCATAAATAAAAATCAAAACAAAATAAGACCAAAAGTTGTAAAAAAAGTTTATACATAATGGAAAAGAATATGAAAAAGGATGTATATATGTGTAACTTAAATCACTTTGCTGTACAGCAGAAATTAACACAGCATTGTAAATCAACTATACTTCAATAAAAGTTTTTAAAAGTTTATAATGACTTTTATATCCAAAGTATTAGGAAACTGACTTAACCTGAAAACCCAAAACCAAGTCTCCATTTGACAAAATGCAAAGGATATGAACACTTCATGCCAAAGGAAACACAGATAATAATATATATCTAGAAAATACTCTTCTTTATTAGTAATTAAGGAAGTGCTAATTTGTATAACATCAAGAGACCTATCTCTACCTATTAATTTAGCAAACATTAGGAAATACTGCCTCTAGTCTTGGTAACCGAAGACAATCTTTCTGGAGAGCAATTTTGTAAAACATAATAATTTGTATGAAACTGTCTATACTTCAAGCTTGTAAACCAACATTTGGAACTATTGTATGAGAATATAATTTAAAAGAAAAAAATTTTAATTTCAATATAATTTTAAAAATTTATTTTAATTTATATTATTTATTTTTGGCTGTGTTGGGTCTTCCTTGCTGCTCACGGGCTTTCTCCAGTTGCGGAGAGCGGGGGCCACTCCTCACCGCGGTGGCCCCCCTCCCCCCGCTGCAGAGCATGGGCTCCAGGCACAGGGCCTCAGCAGTTGTGGCACATGGGCTCAGCAGCTGTGGCTTGCAAGCCCCAGAGCACAGGCTCAGCAGTTGTGGCGCATGGGCCGGTTGCTCTGTGGCACGTGGGATCCTCGCGGACCAGGGCTTGAACCCATGTCCCCTGCACTGGCAGGCGGACTCTCAACCACTCCGCCACCAGGGAAGTCCATCAATATAAGTTAAAAGGAAAAATACTAATAGGTATACAGTACAATGTGAAAAAGTTAAAATGGACCCAAGGTAATGAATTCACTAATTACAAGTTTTCAAAAAATATAATACCTGGGGCTTCGCTGGTGGCGCAGTGGTTGAGAGTCCGCCTGCCGATGCAGGAGACACGGGTTCGTGCCCCGGTCCGGGAAGATCCCACATGCCGCGGAGCAGCTGGGCCCGTGGGCCATGGCCACTGAGCCTGCGCGTCTGGAGCCTGTGCTCCGCAACGAGAGAGGCCACAACAGTGAGAGGCCCGCGTACCACATAAAAAAAAAAAAAAATATATATATATATATATATAAAAAATACCTGGAAGGGATTTAGGAATAATCTAAATCCTAACTAATCTAATCCTATTTTAGATTATTTAATCTAAATTTTAGATTAAATAATCTAAAATAAAATAAAACATATCACAGTAACCAAGATGCTGCAGAGTATTTTATAGTTTGGGGAACTCTTTTTGTTATTATTTATATATTTGTGCTCATTATAAAATTGTAAGATATAAAGTTAATCTCCTTTATCTATAGTGACAGAGAGCTAAACTAAATTGTATGTGCTCTGAGCTGGGGCAGAAGGTAGCCTCGAAGCCCTGTTGACTTAAGGGCAAAGCTGTCAGTTGTGGAATGAAAACTTCCAGCTTCCTCATTCTGCTCTCTTCTCTCAGGCTACTTATCGAGTCGGGAGGAGGTTGCTTCTTATTACCACTGTCCCGAGGCACCCCTGGAAGCTAAGGTGAGCCCTAGAAAAGGAACCAGCTTGGGAACAGTATTGGGCAAACTCTACCCTTTTCCTTGTTTCTGTTCCATGAGGAATAAGGGTTTCAAGTGGAACAAAAACTAAGGATAATTTCCCTTTGGCAATTCGAGGACTTTTCATACGGGGAGGCCACTAATCAGTGCTTATATTTAATGTCATTATAGCATGATAATAACGTTGCATACAACTCGTATAGTGTCTGTCTCAAGGAGGCTTAAAGGACTCAGAGGTCACCCTATATTTTGCTTCTCTGCAAAAGATCATTGAAAAACAATAATTCATAAACATCAAATAATTGAAATTTTTAATTTTACCAATAGGTCTTTTATGAATCTGTAGCTTCCTTCACTGCCCTTAAGGTCACTTAGATGGAAAGATAGAGCTTCCATGGCATACTGGATTGATGGCAGGGCCAAGTTTAAATGCTACCCTCTGCTCTGTTGTCCACTGGGTGGGGGTCAATATTTCTTAACATTAAGAGGTGCCCTATATCTGTCTTTCAGAAGAGAGTCAGGTTTCAAATCTCTGGTCAAAAGTAAATAAATAACCAGGTGAAAAAGTCCAAGGGCATAATGATCTCTCGTGGAGGTCTGCTGAGTCACAACCAAGCCGTCCTTTTTTAAGTGATTTATTTCTCTTAAGTGGCCAACATTTTCAACAACTTTTAGATATGCACATATGTAAACATATTCACTTCTTTCAATTTTGGCTTTGTACAGTCCCCACTACTTTACATAGAGTTTGTAGAAATAAGGTTTTTTTTGCTTCCCACTCATTCATCTGATAACCTCTTCGCTCCTGTTGCTGTTGGAACCCCTAACAAAATGAAACTTTTCTGTTCTTTACAGGATGTCATTCTAACAAGTGGCTGCAGTCAGGCTATTGAACTTTGTTTAGCTGTGCTGGCCAACCCAGGGCAAAACATCCTAGTTCCCAGACCTGGCTTCTCTCTCTACAGGACTCTGGCTGAATCTATGGGAATCGAGGTCAAACCCTACAATTTATTGGTAAATGACTTTTAAATTTTAGACACAAGAGCTCAATTACTACTTCATAAAAATATATGACCATTATCTTAGCAGAGAAAGATCTGGAAGTGGGTGGTCGAGGCCACAGACACATTTTGTTATTTACGTTATATCTTTGAGTGAAGTGAGTAGTCCTACATTTTTCAGAATCATCTTAGTCTCCCCCTTTTTTCCTCCCCAGCCAGAGAAGTTTTGGGAAATTGACCTGAAACAACTGGAATCTCTGATTGATGAAAAGACAGCTTGTCTCGTTGTCAATAATCCATCAAACCCTTGTGGGTCAGTGTTCAGTAGAAGTCATCTCCAGAAAATTTTGGCAGGTGAGTCCAGCAGACTTCACTTGACAGGGGAGAAGATGGGGATGGAATCCTTCAGGTGTTTCATGGAACGAGAAAGGAGTCCTTCACTAAGTTCCAAGCCTAGGATGGAGCTGGGAGGGCTCCACTGGGGTCTCTAGTGAGTGGTGTGCCCCTGGAAAGGTAGGAATTTCCTGAAAGAAGGATAAGAAGAGGAAATACTTGCCTCTTCACCACTCCCATCATGTGGAAGAGAGGGTTTGAAATATCTAGTTAATTAAAGAGCAAATTTAGGCTCTGTACCCTGGAAGAGTATAAGAAGAGTTTATAGTTCTTAAAGAGGAAGATGAAACATACAAACATGAAATGCAAAGTATCATAAGCCCAGGTAAATATTAAATGCTAAGGCAATTCACATTAAAAATGATTTCAGCATGTTTCTCTTATTTTCAGTGGCTGCAAGGCAGTGTGTCCCCATCTTAGCTGATGAGATCTATGGAGGCATGGTGAGTTTTGGGTAGGATGCAACACTGCCATATTCTCAATCCCAAATTATCTCATGGCACCTTTAGATGTGGCACCTAGAATAATCAGAAGCAAATCCTAATCATTTCAGTACAGCACTAATCACTAGTATCCCTGCGCTCTAAACAGATATACAGATAACCAGCCCTTAGCCAGTTTTCCAAGATCCAAAAAGCTATAAAAATCTGAAGATTTTTGGAATTCATTTGGTGGCAAAACCTGACTTGGCC